ATCAAAGTAACCACAGAAGTTGCTAGCAACATGTTGCCTAGTGTATGGAGGCCTTTAAGGATGGGAAGGACCTAGCGATTCTAATAGTGCAAACAAAATTTCTAAATTCTATGTTTATCAAAAGTTATAACAAAAAATCAATAGGTCAGATGAAACTGAACTGGCCTGCCGCCAGTATGGCAAGCCGCGTTTGTGTCAAAAATGCAAATACCATAGATCTACATATCTAACTACATATTGGGCACAAAAGGTAACTAACCAATTCTCATCTTCCTCAGCCTCATCAAGAAGACCTATCTGCTCTGTCGACGGATCTGGACGTTCAGCCATAATTATTTTCGTACCCTAACTGTACACAATTACACATGGCTGTCCGTCGTGTCCGACCGGATGTTCTGAGGCGTGTTTCACCGGAAATACGTCATATTGCGTTTTTATTCACAATAAAAACAATGATAAGTATAGGTTATACAACGAGGGGAGGTATCTATGGCATTTATCATACCGAGGGCTAGCTGTAGGCCCGAGGTATGATAAGGCCATAGATACTAACACAGAGTTGTATAACCTATACTTATCATTGTTTTTATATGTTACGACAGGAAGTGCTCTATAAATGATACACTTACACACTTATGTTACATACACTTACACTTACGATATCGCACATGGGTGAAATCAATTATAGGATGACCTGGGGTTTACGCAATTATTATGCAATTAATTGCGTATTACAATTAATTTTTATTTTACAACATGGGGGCTGTGCCCCCATGTTGTAAAGTGTTATTATTATTATTTTACTAATAAAAGTGTGATTTTATGTACAATAATACAATAAAACTTGACAATTATAATGCATTATAATTGCTGAAACTTTCCTTTTCTTTTAGTATATCCATGTACTCTTGGGATATCAATATTCCAGTCACCAATGCATGACTTTCCCATCTCTATACTGGAGGATTAAGGCATAGCTCAATGAATAAAGGCTCAAGCTACCCATAACCCACCAGTGGGCAACCATTGTTGTAATTCAATAGGTGGAGCTCAAAGCTACACTGTACTTTATTATTATTATTATTATTATTAAAAGTTTTATAGAACAGAGTAGGGAACAAAGTAAAGCACAGAGGAGAGGAACAGTCCTGAAGGGATACCAAGAAAAGATCTCATTCATGAATTACTTGTTTTATCAAAAATTATCATTAAATTTCATCTATAGTTATCAATCTACTACGAATAATAAATTAGTCCAGCATTGTATTTTGACAATGGAGAAGAGATTGAGTGACACTTGGCACTTCTGACATCATCAGTTAAATGTAAATGTGGACCATCATGTAGTGTGACATTCAGTCTCTCTATCATTAAAACAAAAATAAACAATAAATAGTTGTAATTGTTCTTGTTTATTGTTGTTGTTTATAATTTACCTATTTTCTCCCAGAAGTGACTAACATGTCCTCCCCAGCTCTTTACCTCCTCACTGCTCTTCTGACAATTCTATAACACAGACTTAACGCACTCATCTCTAACAAACAATGCTAAAACTGATACCTCTAAGATACGATATCAATTCTTCATATCTAACTGCCAGGGAGGTACATAGTGCTTGGGTATCATTGGATGATACCCAATGATATTCTTGTTAAATTGAAGTAGCATAAGCTGAGCAGGTCTGCATTCTGACATTAGTTACATCAATTCTGCTGCTATCAGATCTAGGATATGAACTAAAAATAGTAACACGTGGTACGTAATAATGATGTAATGTTAGTTTATAATATTAGTCTTACTCGTGTGATACGGAGGAATTTAATCTTTTTCTCTTCTGCTGCTGTCTGTTGCTTACTTTGAGATTATAACTAGAAAAAGATTTTAGAATGTAATGATAATAATAAAACTGAAGTGATTGCAATTCCTGATACATATTGATGTACTTATGCTGTGTAGCAAGATTGAGCTGATTCCAATTTCAATTTTTAAAGTTATGGCCATTTTAAGAAAACGTCAAAATTCTGAAAAAATCCCTGTACTATAGCCCATGGTTTTTTTCCAAAAAATGGCTCCAAAATCACCCCAACTTTTTATTACATTTTCTAATACATAATGATGTACTTATGCTGTGTAGCAAGTTTGAGCTGATTCCAATTTCAATTTTTAAAGTTATGGCCATTTTAAGAAAACGTCAAAATTCTGAAAAAATCCCTGTACTATAGCCCACGGTCTTTTCCAAAAAATGGCCAAAAAATCACCCCAACTTTTTATTACATTTTCTAATACATATTGATGTACTTATGCTGTGTAGCAAGATTGAGCTGATTCCGATTTCAATTTTTAAAGTTATGGCCATTTTAAGAAAATGTCAAAATTCTGAAAAAATCCCTGTACTATAGCCCATGGTTTTTTTCCAAAAAATGGCTCCAAAATCACCCCAACTTTTTATTACATTTTCTAATACATAATGATGTACTTATGCTGTGTAGCAAGTTTGAGCTGATTCTGATTTCAATTTTTAAAGTTATGGCCATTTTAAGAAAACGTCAAAATTCTGAAAAAATCCCTGTACTATAGCCCATGGTTTTTTTTCCAAAAAATGGCTCCAAAATCACCCCAACTTTTTATTACATTTTCTAATACATAATGATGTACTTATGCTGTGTAGCAAGTTTGAGCTGATTCCGATTTCAATTTTTAAAGTTATGGCCATTTTAAGAAAACGTCAAAATTCTGAAAAATCCCTGTACTATAGCCCATGGTTTTTTCCAAAAAATGGCCAAAAAATCACTCCAAATTTTTATTACATTTTCTGATACATATTGATGTACTTATGCTGTGTAGCAAGTTTGAGCTGATTACAACTTCAATTTTTCGAGTTACAGCCATTTTTAAAAATACCAAAATT